GATAAGTGACCATGTACCATCCTCACTGAATTCCTCTGAGTAAGAACCGGGCTAGGCTGGAAAGTACTTTATAAACTCCAACCAGTTTGATTTCTTGGTCCATCCCTTCCTATCCCTTCTCAAATCTGGCCCCTTCAAATTATTTCCTTTTACTCCCATATCCTCAGTTCCTCCCCTTAACCTGTAAACATGCTCATCTTTCCAATCTTAAGGAAAGACGAAACACATTCTTGAATCACGCAGCTCAGAGATGAAGTTGTCTTCCCTTCCTCGCCCTTGGAGTTAAGCTCTACCAACAGGAGCCACACTCACTGTATCTCCACAGTCCCATTTTTTATGTATTCCGCAAGTCCTCACAGGACTCACACTCAAACCTCCACCTGCCACGTGGAGGCTCAGCCCCCAGGGGCACCTGGAGCCTAATCCTGGGTTGTGCGGTTCTGACCTGACTGCCCCAGTGCGGACGGGCTACCATCCCTTTATGAAATCTCTCCCTTAGCATCTGATGCCCTATCTTTTTGTTGCATTCCTTTTTCATTCAAGATTCCTCCTTGGTTTTACACTGGTTTCTCTTCTAACTCATCACCCACTTTCTCCACCGCCTATCACAAGTCACTCAAACACTGATACCCTGTGGGTTCCATTGAGGGCCTTTCCCCTTTTTCTTGTCTCTCTATCCTCTCTCCCAGAGTGATGTTAACATTTACCTGATTTTAACCACCACCTATACAGCAATCATTATTAGCAAATGTCTCCCTGGTATAAATCTCACTCTTCCATTACTTACTAAACATTCCCCACATATATCCCACAGGCATCTTAAGCTTAAAATTGCTGAAACTAAAAACCACCTAAGTGACCATATTCATTCCCTAATCCCCTTGTTTCCTTCCGTAGTTCTCCTTGTCAGTTAATGACCACATCACTCCCCATGTGAGACTGAAGTTCAGTCTAACCTGTGCACCCACTGAAAGCCACCACTGTGCCAGAATGACAACCAAAACGAGTAAATCACGACCTCATTACATAGGGAAATAATTCCACGTGGGAAAACATTCAATACAATTATGTACATTGTGTTTAATGCTGATTGAAAGTTTACAGATTTTAACTTGTTCAAGTGCCTCTCAAATGAAATAAAGCCTGTTAACTCCTTGAGAACAGAGATTGTGTCTTATTTCTTTATTCCAAGTACATAATGGGTACTCAGTAACTTATGATGGATGGATGCTACCAATGAATAAAAATAAGTTTGTACTGCCTGCAGATACTGAAGCAGAATGTCTTTCTGTGCTTAATTAACTTTTAACTAGAGAACTGGGTTTAACTAAGGAAATCTGGACACATTATTTCTGCATTCTCAAAATAATATATATTGTTATTCTACATTACTAGGTTGGCAACACATTATGCTAATTCTCTTGGAGTACATCACTCCTATAAATACTTGAGAATATCTCTGTATTGCTATTTCAATGTTTTGTTCTTTCAGTCAGACTTGTGGCTGAGCTATTTCAATTTTTACAGGTATTTCCATCATCTCCCAAATTAATTTTATTGACAAATACAATTAAAATGCTACTCATCATTTCTCTTTCACTATTAGAGGCACTAAACCTAATAATGATCTCAGTCTCTATCTCCTAATGTCCATCGCCCTCAGAGTAACATTTAAATTATATAGTTCATCCAAATCAATGATGACTTGTTCTAACAAGATTATCATTAGAATCTCTCAAGCCAAACAATACTCTCTCATACTCTGGCCAAAGCAAGAGGAAAACAGAAGATAAATACTATATGTTTAGACAGTCAAAAGAGATCATTCAATATGCTTGAAAGGTATCACAAGGTTACTTTGTAGAAGTGTCAAACTATGCACATCAGCTGCCACCTACATACAGATGTCTCTGACATGGTAATACAATGAGAAACCATTTAGTTTAATAATAATAAAAAAGCAACATCAGTTGGTGCATATTACATGTAGCATCTAGCCCTGGTTCCCTAGCAACCAGTCATGAGTGAACTCCACAGAGAATAAAAGCCCTAAACGAATGAACAGTTTGTGCAAGTTTCAAGGACTTGAAGAGATGTGTCAGTGGTTAATCTAAATTCTAGTTGGCAATTACCATACTGAGACGGAGGAAGGAAAATCCATCATTATCTCACAGAATCAACGGTGAGATTAACTAGAGTTGAGCTTCCGCCCTTTAGTTTTGGACCTTTTGAACCAGCAGTTTTATAGGGAAAAAAACTGTGACAATATGATTTATAAATTACGAAAACTTTATACAGACATATACAACAAAATATCACTAATATAACTTGCATTCATGCATTCAGGAAATATACAAATGAATACAAATCACATGCTAGACATTGCCCCAGCAACTGGAAATACAAATATGAAAGTCACTTTATAGGTTCTCAAGTAGTTCGTAGCTTAGTGGAGAAATCAGACAGTAAACAAACAAGAACAATACCATTAATTCTGTAATACAGAGGTAGGCATTGGATATTATGAAAGCACCTATAAAGGCATTTAATTCAGACTGGTGAGAGGGGCCTAAATAGTCAGGGGCCTAAATATCAGAGACATAACACTAGAGCTGAGTCTTAAAGGACACACAAAAGTTAGTCAAATAATAGGAGATGAGGAGGACATAAAAATATATTTTATTTATATGTGTAGATAAAAACACATAGGCATATTTATATACATTTAAAATAGTAGGTGTTCCTAAAGTCACCATACATAGAGAAAATGGAAAATTGTAGCTAAGGGTGCCTTTATTTACAAAATACTCATCACAAAACATTCTCTACATGTTGGCCACCTCTTGTAAAATTTTGTAGTGAATATTTTATAAATAGAAGTACAATTTCCCATTTTCCCTATTTATGGCAGTTTTAGGGGCAACTTTTGGGATGGACTGCATATTTTAAATATACATTTTGAAAATATTAATATATAATATGTTCATATTAAATACATTTAAAATCTGTATGTAAGCTTGTAGATATAAAAATAGTAGTGGCAAGAGGAAAAATATTTTCAAGGATGCAGAAGTGAGCAAACAAAAACACATAGTAGAGGAACTTCCTGGCATTTAGTGAAGTTAGGGTCCCAGTGATGAAAGAGGAATCAAAGAGAGAGAGAGACCAGGTTCCTTCCAGAAGTACATCATGCTAGAATGAAACTGGAGATGGGTTTTGAGGCCAAGGAATAATATAACCACATAAGACAATGGTGTGAAATGTATTAGAAAGGGCAAAGCAGGAGTCAAGGAGAACAGACAAGATATTATTGTGATAGGTGAGATACTCAAAAGATAATACCCCAACAGATTTGAATGGGTGTGGAGGAAGGATAGGGCAAGAGACGCAAACGGGATTTCTGAGGTTCCTAACTCGCTAACAGCTCTAGGAAATTTAATGGCTACATACATAATATGTATGCTACCTGGTCTCTGCTAAAATATTATTCTGGACCCCTTCTTACATCCTATCCCAACAAAGCAATTATACAGAAGTTAAAAAGCAGCTGTCCTGAAGAAAAATTGACAGGGAAAGGAAGGGGGAGAAAAGGAGGGAGGGGGAGGAAAAGAAGACAAGAGGAAGTAAAAAAGGAAAAATAAATAAACTAAAAAAATACCAGAAAGTAAACTCTATCCAAACTTCTAAATGAGAAGCAATATGTCTAAGTGTAAAAAGAAATTTTAAAAAGTATACACGAAAAACACTATTGGCGCTTGACTACGTAAAACTTGAAAATGCAGGTATGTTCACTAATACAACATAGTAAAAAAAATTTAGGAAAAAGGTTTGTAACAAAGAGTTACAGTCCTTTGCATCTAAAATACATACAACCAAATAAAATCAGGAGATAGTGCCAACAAGTAAGGAAAAAGTACAGATAATTAATTCCATTCCCAAATAAAAATGGGTAACAAAATGTCTAAAAATCATTCTTAATAATAATCAGTGAAATATATATAATCACAATAGCATTTCTATAACTAGCCTATCAGCAACTGATTTGGCTGGCCTACCTCGTTAAGGGTATAATACCTTGTAACATGACAGTCTTACATGTGTCATAAATTAGAATAAGGTTTTCTAATTTAAGTGTGTCTATGTGTATATATGTACACATACCCACATACACACACACACAAACCCATAAAATGGGTCACATCCTTTGACAAATTCTGAAAATCTATCCTAAGGAAATGATCTAAAATACAGATTAAGGTTTACATAAAACATTATTTATAGTAGGGAAAAGAACTAGAAATGGTGTAGAAGCCTCCCAAATGGAGATGTTGTACTATATAGTTTGTACGACCACACAAGAAACTATCATATAGACACTAACAGTAATGTTTTTAGAAAGATTTTATACAGGGAAAAAAAAATCTTATAATGTTTATAAAAAAGGCAAAAGTAGTAAATCATATAATGAAAAAAAAATCTTATAATGTTTACTAAAAAGGCAAAAGTAATAAATCATATAATGTGTAATTTCTACACTGGGTTGTAAAAGCATAGAGGGGAGAAATATTACTTCTGAGTAGTAATGACTAATTACTGTATTTTCTAAGTTTTTTTTTTTCCAATAACCAGGCTATATTATTGTTGCATTTAGAAAACAAAGTCAACCTATTTCACCTATCCCCAATAAAATACCTTAGCTTTGTATTTAATAGCTCATTCGTTTAAGATCTTTCTGTAAAGTCTGACATCTCTACTAATTTTAACTTAAACTTAACAAGTAGTTCTGCACGTTGCTCTTGAATTAAAAGAGCTTTTTGCCATATGTGATATGTTGCCCTAATGCTAATAATGTATTAAGAGCTTCGATTTGAATAACAGAATTAAAGCAAGAAAAAAATTTAAGTTTTCAGTAATAAAAGAGATTTTAACCACTTTATATATTTTAATCACTTAAATGCATTTGGAATTATATGCATAACAAGGCTGTGCCTTTGTGTTACCTGAGGTGGCTGAGCAGAGGCTGAAGTCTTTCATCAGACTGCACAGTCGGCAGGGACCTGGCTGTTAACTAAAAGCAGAGAACAAAGTTAATAGAAACGGCAAAGGCCAAGCGCTGAACATACTTAAATACTAAGTGCAAAACAGGGACAGGGGAGAGACAAGGAGGCAGTACTTACAATGTGAGAAAATGTTTCTCTTGCTTTGAATCAAAAAGTATATAAAAAGCTGATATATTATGTGATTAAAGTTAACTGCATGGCTCGAAGGACAGATGGTATGTCATGGAGTTTAGAAGAAAAAGATCGGCCAAATAAAGAGTAGGAAGAAGAAGAGGGAGCATCCATCCAAGTCTCTGCTCACGAAAATATTATCTTTGTAAATAAAAATGAAAATTTTCTAAATGATAAAATGTGTAACAACTTATAGCACTGAATCCTACGATGATGGAAGAAATTTAGGTGAGGAAATTTCATTTATAGCTAAGCCACCACGACCCTGCTTATATGAAGGGGTGCGTGTGTGTGTGTCTGTACGTATTCCTACATTTTAACAACCACGTGACTATAAGAAACCAAGAACATCCATTAGGTATACATCAGCAACCTAAAGTATTTAATATAGAGATATGACTTCAAACTGACCTAGGAAATAAAAAGTGAGAGCCAAGACCTTAAGTGTTGAATACTATGGATCAAGTTGACACTCCATCATGAAAATGCGAACTTCAGATACATTTTATCGCAATAATATTATCTCTATATATCTCTATTTTTCTCTCAGTTCTTACGAGAATGGCCTCTTATAAGAATTTGAAAAAAAATAAACACATTCAAAGTAATCAGATAGGCTGAAGTAAACTTAAAAGTATCAAACAAAAATAAAAGATAAATGTCTCTGGATTCAATTATGATCAAAATAGTTCTAGTATTCTACCAATCGATCATTTAACAATTCACAAAGAAACTTTTTTTTCCTTGAGACAGAGTCTCAAGAGTCACCGTGGGTAGAGTGCCACAGCATCATAGCTACCGCAACGTCCAATTCTTGAGCTGAAGCCATCCTCTTGCCTCAGTTTTTCCATTTTAATGGAGACAGGGGTTTTGCTTTTGCTCAGGCTGGTCTCGAACTTGTGAGCTCAAACAATCCACCCCCCTCAGCCTCCCAGAGTGCTACAAAAAAGAACCTTTAAGAACAAATTTAAAAAGATCCTTTTGTTATATATAGGGTATCCTCTCTCATTTTTTATATTATTTAAAATTTCCTGATGAGGGGAAACCAAACATTTAACTCATCAAACTTAATTTTGGATACTACGCAAATAAAGATAAAATTATAATTTATAAATATCTAATAAGTATTATATTTGTGGGAGGAAAGTTCACCAAAATGCCAGATATCAAGTCTTTTTTTTTATAGCTAATGGTACTAGAGAAATTTTCCCTCTTTTTTACAAGAGTCAACACACATCAATAAAGTTATTGACTAATTTAAAATACGATAAAGTGGGGCAATTAGTCTTTTGCAATTTTAGCACCACCACATTTCAGTGTCCCTGAGACATGGTAAGTCTAGTATTTTATAACACATAAAATGTTATCAAGGTTTTCAAGTTCTATAAGCAAAACACTTTAATACCTTAACACTCCCTGTATCTGTTAATGTCAAATCGTGTTACAAAATGTCATTTTCATTGTTCAAAAGATTTCATGTGTTAGAACCAATGCTATGCTCTAAAAAAGATTAAAGTGATTCATCTTCCTATCCCCAAAGTCAAGTCTTTGAAAACAGAACAGACAGACTGGGGTTTTCAGTCACTTCTGTCAATCTATAGAGCATGTTTTCTAATCAAACTGACTTTTCTAAACAAAAGCAAACAAACAAAACACCTCAGTAATAGCAAAAGACTTCTGGACATCTGTTCATTCCATACGGGAAACACTTTTCAGATCTACCCCTTCATCTTAACCTCTCTTCATCTCCTATTTCCTAAACTATTAATATCTCTCCATTCACTGTTGTTCCTGCCTCCATTCCAGCCCCTTCCCTACCAGGGGTGTCCAACCTTTTCGCTTCTCTATACCACTTTGGAAGAAGCAACATTGTCTTGGGCCACACATTAAATATACAAACACTAACAAAAGTTAATGAGCCAAAAACAAAAATAAATTATTTTTTTAAAGTTCATGCACAGTGTTCAAGATATACACCACCACAAATGAACAAAAAAAGTCCTTGCATAATCTACATGTGGCCCACAGGCTGCAAGCTAGACACCCTTGCGACAAAGTCAAGAGTAAAATTGTCAAAATGAGGGGTAATCACTCCCTAATTAAAATCATCTAACAGTTCTCTTAGTCGCTCAGCCTAAAGTTATCACATGGGTCTTTCATCACACGTGTTGCGGCTGCATTACTGAAACACTAGGCTTAGAAAGAGAACCAGCCTGCACAGCTGCTGCCAATTCCACAAGACACAGTGGAGGCATCATCAGATGGGGGGCTGCCACGGCTCAGTTTCTGAAACATGTGTGCACGCCACCGTGCGAAGCGCTCCACACGACACGTGTGAGCTGGCCAGAAGCCTTTGTTAATTAAAGTGCCTCCTTTCACTCCCTCGCCTCTCAAAACAAGACAGTGCTTTTCAGGATTCATTTCACCCACAAACTTTTTCAAGATTCCCAAATTTTTGCAGAAAGGGTTCCTCCACATCATTAGAGATTTGGCTCAAATGTCACCTCCTCGTGGAGGCTTTGCCTAACCACCCTCCACAAAGCAGCTGGGATTCTTATCTGACGACATGTGTCATCACCTGAAGTTATCCTACTAATTTCTCACTTGTGTGTTTCTTTCCCTTCAAGAAGACGAGCTCCGTCAGAGCAGGAACCTTTCCCACCACTTCCCCCCACTGTTTTGAGCGGCCTGTGGCATAGCTCGCAGCAGGCTCTCAGCAGCACTGTAGAGTGAGTGGAAGGTTCACCTCTCTCAAATGTTTTCAACAGAATCATGGATTTTAAAAAGTCTGGCCTAGACACTGATCATTCTGGTCACTGTCATTTGTAAATGTGGCCGATCATCTAGAGGGGCCAAGCACATTTCTCCTTTCATTTACAGTTAACTGGGAATCCCCAGATCTTTCCTTTAAAAGGAGGGCGAGTGCTCCACCATGGAATGAGGCTGAAACTGGGACTCCCTGACTCAAGGGAAACAAGTAGCCCAAAACTAACAGTCCAAAACACTATATTTTATAATGGCACTTCCAAAAAAGTAACCGTGATGTTGTTTCTTTCCAATCTGTGTCTTTTTGGTGGCGGATACAGAGTTGGTCACTAAACGAAAGCTACAAATAAAGCAGGAGTAGCAACAAAATACATGTATTTATTTTTCCAACATTATTAAAAAATTTAAACACACAAAGTTCAAAGTCTTTTACCATAAACACCCATTAAAAAAACCAAGTCTGCCAAGATTGAGAGTGTTTCAAAAATTTATATAAGAAATAGTCATAAATGTCATTCTATTCAAATAAGTCTCAGGAAAATGCAAAGCAACAGCCTTTGTCATTTAAATCACAATGCTAGAATTAAAGCATGTATTTAAACACCTTCCAAGATATTATTTCCAAATAAATAAGGTGCAATTTCTGGTAGGTTCGTTATTTTGAAAGACAGTTCAATTATTTTTCTCAAAACACCCCTCACCCCATAAGGACATACAATTTAAAGAAATTTGAAATCTAAATAGTAATTAGAACATTGAACTTATGCAAGAATAGAAAAATCTGGACAGAAAGCATATTTGGTTCTTTTATGTTTTCAAGAGTAAAGGAAACACATAAAATATTTTCTTCTTAGACTTTCCACTTAAACTAGATCTCTTTAATCTAGCTAAAAATAAACTTGACAGCATGAGAAAAGTAATTTTTTAGAATTATGTTCTCTATCCAATATTATTTTAAAAATTGGGGTGAAAAATCAGCTTTAGTTGAATCTAGAAAAAGCAAAGGGAAAGAGAACTAAGAACAGTGAACATTTCAGTTTTATCAGAGATGGTCTCTCCCTTTTCTTAAATTGAAACAAGAAACGCTCTGAAGCAAGTATGACGATCTGCTAACAGTGGTTAATTCCTGGAGGGATACACTTGCATGTATGTTATACTATTTTGCAAACACTTGTGTCTAACGTAGTTCAAGAGAAGAAGGGAGGGAGGACTAACTGACTCTCTAGTAGGGTAAGAAATGGCTTGAAGGGGAGCGAGCTAAAATAGAGACAAGAAGATCAACTAAGAGGATGGTCCATGCAGTGATCCAGGGATCCAAGATGAAGAACCAAATTATGGTAGAGGCAGAAATGGAAGAAAGGAAGACATGAACATAAGAAATATGAAGGAGGTGGAGTCCACAGAACGTTGTGACTGAAAGAGCAGCATATGCAGGTAGATGGCTCTGCTAATTGTAAGACAGTGACTTAGTTTTAAGCATGCTGAATTGAGGGGTTTTTGAATATTCAAAAGGCAACTGAATATATGTGTGTCTAGAGTCCATAAAGGGCTGAAGATTTAGATTTAAGAGTTATCAGGAAATAAGTAGCAGAAAAGGCATGCACTGGTTAAACTTCCCATATTGTACACACAAATCAAAAATTAGGAGTAAAGCATGGTTACCCAATTGTCAGGGACTGGTAGTAGCTTATTAGAGCACTATGCTGAGAGTTCATTCTGGAGAAGGGGGAAAAATGTGCCATCTTTCTTTCCCATCACTAGTTTCATGACTGAGACTCATTATAACAAAAGATAGATTTAAAAAAGAAAAGGATAAAAATGTATTTAATGTAAGTTTTACACAATATGGAAGCCCTCAGAAATGAAGACTCCAAGAAGCAGAGAAACTTGCATATTTTTATGGACAGTCGCGCAGAAGGGCAGCCAGGTTTCATGGGCTGCTTCAGGGAGAAGGGGGTGAGGTGGGCAGGCGAGAGTGCCATGGTCCATACTGTGGAGGAGCATGGCCCCATCAGTTCCAAGCCACATCCAAGAAACAGTACAGCCTTGATTATCATTGCTCCCCGATAAA